TAAACTTACTGCTGACCCACCAGGGGAGGAGCTCATGGGAATAATCAAGCTCAAGTCTTGCAGTCTTCGAAAATCTTCGATGATTTTTCAAAAATATTTTGTTTCAAGAAATTTCCAGTTTTAAATTTTTGGTGACAGAAGATAATCTTTTAAATATTGTACAATTCAGACGGAAAATATATTTGCCAGTTCAATTGGATATGTCTGCTCACCTTACCATGAACGTCGTCAATTCAGAGTTTGTTTATTTTGCGAGCTAAATTAAGAAAGTCAACCGAAGTAGTTGCGAAATAGACCCACCTGTTTAAGTGCTGCAGTGCAGAAAATTTCAGTTTTTTATTTGGAAACAATCCAAACATATATATATATGTTTAGCGTTTATTAATTAAACAAATGTAAAAATATAATTCTATGCATTTTCTGGAATAACTGAAAAGCCGTGATCTTCAAGATCGTCGAAACGGTCAGATTAATTTGATATTTCCGTATAACTCTCCTTTTGTCTGTTTTTTTTAGTTCCCCCTTTAACTTCGTTAGTTTAAACAATAACACAAGAATTAAGATACACTGGTTTTCAACACTATTTTGCAGAGGGTGCACATTTTAGTTTCCGGCGAAGAACCACCAAATTTAGACTCTGAGCCAAACGCGCAGAAAAAGAAACGCATCATCACGTTGAAAGTCGTTAATGTTAGTGTACAAGAGCAGTAAGTAAGGCAACATCTGAAAACTGTAGAAAATAAATCCTGTTTTTTAAAATTATATTATCATGGCCTGAACTGATAATCATGTTTCTGTACATAAATGAGTAGCAAATACATTTGCCGCAGGTAAAACTTAGGGTTACATGATGTGACGAAGAAGCAGTGTGGCGTGTGTAATGGTGCTGACTTTATGTCATGACTAGTGTCTTTGGTGTTTCAAGATGATTGGTCTGAAGGGTGTTTTCTCCTAAACCCAGCCAGCTGTATTCAGCCAGTGCTGAAAGAGAGTTGAGATTCAAAGTAAGGGGACCTGCTCCAAAAATGGGAGCTTGAAAGTCGATCCATAGCAGAGGTCTGACTGACTGTCTAAAATTAGTTTCCTTTGCGTTGCGCATTTTCTCGAAACTTAAAGTTCTTTGCTAACTCCCCTAGTATGGAACCGTCTTCCTTAGGGTGAGTTTAACTACATTTCGACGACTCTCCAGGCCTATGTGCAATAAACGGTAGGTTGTCTTGATGACATTAGATTGATTATAACATATAACTAAAACTGTCGTTCCGTTTTTCGTAGAAAAAAAAAGTTATTTATCAACTGATATAAAAATTATATTCGAGAATTAATTCTATAATTTCGATTTACCCCAGATCTTTAGAATGTGTGTGAGTTTCAAAGCTCCTGTAGTAAAGTTAATTTCTATTTATGATTTAGTTAAAGATGTTTTCAACAATAATTCTTAGTGATAAATAGTCATCCCCGAAAATATGCGGGCAAAAATGTCACTATTTATAGGATGTCTTCAAACCAAATTTCAACAGTGTATGAAACATTTTATCTGATGTAGTATTTAATTTCCTTTCAGAACTCGTTCATTACGCCATGTTTCTACTTATACTTTTTCAATAATATTGAGTCTGTCTGAGTTGTATTTAGTTGTAAGAGGTTATATGGACAGAGAAGCTTGTTTTATGTAAAATATTGTTTTTTCCAACTTCTATGCTCCCCAAGTCTCTAACAGCCTGTGAATTTTACTATAAATAAACATTTAAAGTATAATCTATACCATATTTCTACATGGGTGAACCTGTGTTATGTGTATATTGAAAGTCAGTGAGTTACATTTTTAAACACAAAGAAAAAATATAGTTGTTGATCCATTGAAACCACCATTCTTTCGAGTCAGTCCCTCTTTTGTTATCCATGTATTATTTACTGAAATATATATTTAACTTTATTCTTGATTATTTTTATATAGGGAATCACAATTTACACTTTCTGTTTGTTTTTCTTCTTTTATTATTATTCATAAGTTCAACCTTCAGTGTTTTGTACGGGTCTGTTGTGATCATATGTGTCTCTTTTATGAAGTAGGAATACACTAAGGTACAGAAAATTAAAAATAATGCCGATTAATCATTGCTAAGCCTATTTAATGATACCTGTTAAACATAGTACGTGAGAAACAGAGATGACTAAAAGTTATTTTATTTTTGTACAACTGTACATTCTTACAAAATATAACTTGCTATCGAATATCACTTTTTAACATATAACAATGTTAATCAACATAAGTATTGAGTTCGACAACAAAAAAAATGAAAAAAAATGTCATTTTGCTTATTTACGTGTATGTATGTGAATAGCCAGATATTGTAATTTAATGGAAAGAATCGCATCTATAGTGATTATAATTAAAGCCCTGGTTATCAGTTTGTACTTAAGTCATTGTAAATAGTTTAAATATTTTGTTTTCATTTTAATTTGTTTTCATACGGTGTCATTTTCAAAAAAGATATTTATATCTGATAATAGTGATGTATCTGTCTTTCATGGCGTCTCGTTTTCTTCATTACACACTATTCTGTGTCTAACTACAGTTAGTATTTGAAAAAAATCTATTTTTAAAGTTTATCGCATATATCTTGGTATTTCCGTTCAAGAATTGTATTAGAGTTATATATTGAGAAAGAGATAAAATCACTATTATGTTTCAGAAGAACGTTAAAACTGGCTATTTCTTTCATATAATTCCAATAAGTTGTAAAAACCGATCCATAGCTAAAATTAACAAATCTGAAAATACAAGAAATATCAGGTTCGCTGTCTGGGCTGGACGTGGCCTAGTATTTAGCATGCAGAGTTGTGGACCATAAAGTCCAAGGCTCGAACTGCAATGCCGAGCACTTTCAGCTGTGGGCGCATTATCAAAGTGATAGTTAATCCTATTATTCGGTTCAAAGAGTCGGACAAAACCTTTGTGGTGTCGGAGGCTTCTGGCTCTGGTCAGTAGTTCAAAATTAGAGATGGCTATAACTGAATCCTGGAAGTTTTTGACCTGGTTGTTAAGCTCATGTTTACATGTTCTGATTGAAAATATCAATGTCAACTAAAACCACTGTAAGAGGGAAAAAGAATTAAGAGGTCACTATGCCTACTATTCATTAGACTGCCAATATTTATCATGAATATTATGCCTACTGTATTTATATATATATATAAGTTAAAATCCCATAGATATTATGCCTACTGGTTCCAATGATTCACTAGGTTTCAGCTTTTAACAACATATAATTTAATGGTCAAATTCTAACTACCGATTTTAGTAATTCCTTTAGATTTTCAGATTTTGCTATAACTGTGTTTGTTTGTTACAAAACGAGCAAAACGCTGGATTTAATAATAAGTAGGAAACTTTTAATAAAACAATGTCAGAATGATAAATGGACTAAATATTTTTACCCAACAGTCAGAAGGTTGTGCAATGATTTCAGATTAAACGTTACGTGTAAATGTTGTAATCACTTATCAACAAACGTGAACATTTCAGCAGCTGGTTGTTCAACCAATAAGTTATAACATCCCGAGTCCCATGACAACAATTCGCAAACTATAAGAAATTATTAAAACGGGCTATATTTCCTTACTTACGCGATGTCCCCCATTGAATCAGCGGTAAGTTTACGGACTTACAAGGCCAAAATCCGGGGTTTAATTTCCCGTGGCGGACAGAGCACAACTTCCTTGCATCGTTTCAACTTACCACTTTCATTTTTCATACTTCTAAAAATGTTTACGAATCAGTACACTAAAACTAATTCATAGTCAAAATAGAACAAAAAAAATACTCCAATCAATGTGATTTCGCTGAGAAGTGTACTAGTTTAAGTTAACTGCTAGTTAGACTATTTCGTTTCATTCTGATAACTAATATAACTTTTAAAGTTTTGAGAGCACGTGTCTACTTACTAAATATTGTCTTGATTTGGTATTTTGTTTTCTCGAGCCATAGCGTGTCATATACAACGGCACTAGTGAAAACTGAATATATAATATGGCGAGGAAACATATTAGCCAGTTTAAAGCTACAGGGGAAAGTAAAACTTTTGACCTAAACATTATATTCCATCTATACCTTTTTCTTCATCACACAATCACTCTTAGTTTCGCTTCAACTGTTTCATTATTTTCCTTCCACGTTTCCAGTCTCAGTTTCTTGTTTTACTTTTTAACTTTTTATCATGCTCTACTTCATTCAGCTATTTTGTTCTTTCAATCATCCTCTTAAGCCTTTCACTCTCTCAGATAGTTCACTTATCATATGTTTTCTTTGTACAATCTCAAATCTTTCATTTTTTAACTATCACTTATCTTTTCTGTCTCCAATTTTCAACATTTCTTTTATCTTTATTACCCTTTCAAATATTTCCTAATTTCTCTCGTTTGCCCAATTTATCCTCAAATCTTACACAATTTATCTCATTTGTTTGTTTTACTCTGTCAAATATTTCATTATTTCTTTCACGTTTTGTTTTCTTATCTTCTCAAATCTTTCCACATTCCTGTTCATACTTGTGTTATCCTGTAGAATTGTTTACTATTTGATGTTCTATCTTACACCCAACTTTTTCAGCATGATTTATTGTCCTTCTCAGGGTTTCTTTAATCATCTATTTTGTATCCTCCTCTTGCTCCCATACTTTCTATGTTATGCTTGTTTTTAGAAGCCAGCTTGGATAATAAAACATAATCACTCAGAAAAAATAAATGAATAAAACAGCCGTTTGACAAGATTTCTAAACAACCATCAATTAAAGTTTATGATTACCCTGTATTGGCAATAAATTAATCTTTTTCATGATACCTTTTAGGAGTTTTTAAAATTGAGTTACTAAATAATTTCCTGTCGTGAAGAGCAAATAGCCCATTTCATAGGTTGGAGTTTCTAGAAGACAGAATGTATAAATGTTTTATGTGTAAATATTTAGTATATATCAGAATGCTATTATTTTCTTTTTCAGATCAGGGAATGGTGATCCAACCACACCCAACGTAAGTTGATAAATAATTTGTTCAGTACATAATTATTTCTGTATGAACACATTCATCCAAATTTATATGACGTAAACTTAGCAGTTGATTGTGTTTGTTGTTAAATGTTAACTTTATGTGCCATAAATTTAGAAGTTAATTGCTTCTGTTAGTAAATAGATGTTTGAACCGATTGCTAATTGGTTAATTGGTGTCCCTTTATTATATCTATTTCTAGAGATTTCTCATTACGTATTATTAAAGCACCTGGAACATTTGGTTTTTAAGAATCTGAGGATTTTTCATTCAAAGACAAATTCCTTATTTTGATGAATTATGTTTCAGTTCAATATTTCTCACACAAGCGTACTCTAATTAAAATTAACTAAGAACAGAATTTTGCATCTTAACAAAAATAAATAAAAATTGTAAGTTATTTTTTTTAATACAACAAATAAGTTCACCTGTATGAGAATTTATTAAAAATTCATCCTTTTAAAGTAAATACATTTCTGGAAAAGACACAAGGTTAAGAAAGATAAGTATGTTTTTTAAATATTGTTTAATCATTTATCAAGTAGAGCTTTCTTTTGATATTTTCATCTGTACATGTATTAATCATAAATTAATTTTTTTAGCATTTTGTGATCGAGTTAATTTTAAGATACAGTTAGCGAAAATCGGTTTAGTTACTGACATCACAAACAAACGTTAACTACAAACCTGTATTTTATATGTATATAATTTTATACGACTTTTTGGTAAAAGGCACCTTTAATATTCAGATGATAATATTTTATCTTTCGTAAAACTCTTACCTTCTGAGCTCGAACCAATATTTTCATTACATTCACATAATCAAGAGTTCAGTAAATCACCTAGAAGAAGGCTTTCTGGTCGAAACGTATTTTAAAAATAATAAAACATCAGATTTTAGTTATCAGTTGTTTGTGGTGTGGTTTTTCTAGTTCTTGATCTTTGAATTAATCAGTTTGGGTGAACTTTGGTTTTTTTATGTCTTTTAATTTCCGGAATAAGACTCGTGTCCTGAAGCACTGCAGTTCTCTCTTGAAAGTGTACCCTTTGCTATAATTATAGTCGAAACATTCACGTTAAGTAGATTCCTGTTCGTGCTGATTTCTACTGAAAACAACAACAATACGTATTATCCAATGGTAGCGAGGCATTGACGTTTTTAGCCCTAATAAAAATTATAAAATCACGCTTATTTGTTTTTTTTTCCTCACGTTGCCTTTTACGTATTTCTAATCAGAAGTGTGTTAATAATATTAATTTCAGAATTATCTTTTTGTCTACTATAGATTACCACTTAGGAGACCTTTCGTTTAATGCCGTAAATCCAGCCAAGCAGTAATACACCTCTTTGTTTCACTATTTGCATTACATTATTGGGCTTTGATATTATTTTGTGTTCATTTTATCAAACCTTCAGAACAAACTTATTTAAGAAAAATGTGAAAAAGAAACATTTGCAGTCAAGCGTGACTTAATCACCTTTGTTAGGCTTAAAAACATTTATTATGCTTTTAAAGATCTATGTTGCAACAATTTGAAATAATCTACCCATGCAGTTACGGAATTGTAATACTGTTTGAAACAGTTTTAAAGGGTATTTAGTGTTTACACTTACATTCTACACTGTATTCTGCAATGATCATCTTTTTCGTTCACCATTTCACACATTATTGGACTTTAAAATTATTCTGTGTTCATCAAATTTGCACACCAAAGTTATGTAATTATTGCTATAAGATCACGTTTAGTTCAGTTTGTAAAATAATTTATCTATATTTTTAATTTAGAAAAATCTGAAATCACAACAAACTGCTTAGATATGATTATGTTGGACGCAAAGGTCACGTATACAGGCAGAGTTTACGTGCAGTGGTTATATACATTTATAACATTTCACTTTTTTATTCGGAAGATGCAGACAACTATTTGATATTTGAGGTTTTATGCCTCACTTTAACAAATGTAGTACAACGCTTTTAACAAGATTTTGTTGTGATTTTAACTTTTAACTTATTGACATTCTTAGCTTTTTTACCCAATTTAGTAATCCTTTCAACATTATTTTACTGTGATTTTAACTATTAAAGTTACTATGTCACTTTTTTTTTTACCAAATTTAGCTAAGTTTTAATAAAATATTTGCTGATGTTATCTTGACTATTAACTGCGACACCCAAGTTTTTTTTTTAAGAAATTATAGTTCAACTGTTATAATATAATGTGAGATAGGTTGCTCACAAACACTCACTCAAGTTGGGTGTTGTTTCGCAAAAGCAAAGCAAAACAAAAAGCAAATACGTTAACTTTGCACGGGCCCAATGTAACAGGTCTACCAGGTTACATGTGGGTACTAAAAACAACGCTCTTATTTAACAATTAGTCAAAAGTGGCCTGAAGGTATCATTTACGATGACCTGTATACGTGGAACTAAACCACGATTGACAGTCTTATATATTGTTACAAACAATTATTCCTAATGACATCCAAAAATTTTTGATTAGCAGCGTAATAAGGAAACTAGTTATTCAGCATAGTAATTCCAAAAAGTGATATATTGATTATAATTATATGTATATATTTAAACACGTAACTATACCCAAAGCATTCCATAAATGCGAGTGATAAGTAATTAATGTCAAAAGTGAGCCTGTTAAATTATGAAAAAACACAAAAAACATTGGGATATTAAATTAAAATATATTAGTGATGCTCAGGCATGTTTGTGTATAGACTGAAACCTATCCTTACATCTTTTTTAAATTAGAGACTACTGTGCGCTTATATTTTTTTGTGTAGCTTTGCGCGAAAATTCTCAAAAAATAAATGAAACAAACAATCCATCTATCTATTGCTTAGTAATGACGTTTTGAATAATTTTTACACATATTATTTCCGTTTTTTTTTACACACGTATATTTTTGTTTATGTTCATATATATATATATATATATATTTGAAATTTGTGAATAAATAACACAAACCGTTTGATTTTCAAAAAACCACGCAGACATGAAGTTAGAAGCGGTTTAGACGACCGACTCCACCAAGTATAGCTAATACTGTTGCACACAAGAATGTTTACTTGTTTTACAAAAATAATGATGAAATAAAAAAATCTCCCATCAAGTGTTGGCGTAGTTTAGAAAACGCGAGCTAGCCAAGAAATATAGTCTTTTCCGGGTTGCTAGATGTAGTTACTGTTTACACTCACTGGTCTCCTCATCTTCTGTCTCCTGTTGGTTCTAATTATAGCCCGAACGTCTTCTTGTTGATTACAGAGCATGCTGTATAAGAGTTCTATAAATGACTCTGAAGGAGAGCGTTGACACTAAGGAAAAAAAGTGTAATATAACATTTATTAACTGATTATTAAAGTATTCACGAACCGTTTTATATTTAATCACTGACTTTTCTAAGAATGTATCTTTGAAGAACTGATGGAACATGTACTATGTCTTTGCGTCATGTTTAGTACCTAAAGAGTAATCAGACTAATCCTGACCAAACTTGCAAGCGGATATGCATCATACTTTCCTCTAATTTTATGAAGGTTATCCTGGATGTATAACAGTTTGATAGTAATAATTTGAATTTTATGAAGGTTATTCTGGATCTCTAACAGCTTGATGGTAATAATTTGAATTTTATGAAGGTTATTCTGGATCTATAACAGCTTGCTGGTAATAATTTGAAGTTTATGAAGGTTATTCTGGATTTATAACAGCTTGATGGTAATAATTTGAAGTTTATGAAGGTTATTCTGGATTTATAACAGCTTGATGGTAATAATTTGAATTTTATGAAGGTTATTCTGGATCTATAACAGCTTGATGGTAATAATTTGAATTTTATGAAGGTTATTCTGGATCTATAACAGCTTGCTGGTAATAATTTGAAGTTTTATGAAGGTTATTCTGGATTTATAACAGCTTGATGGTAATAATTTGAATTTTATGAAGGTTATTCTGGATCTATAACAGCTT